AGCTAAGCCGAGCCTGTTGCTGGAAGAACTCCCGGGGCCGGGCCATGAATTTGAGTACATGTGCATGGCTATAACTACATGAGAACGTGATTATGAAGCATGAGGGAGGTTAAATATGAAGTGGGTTACATACGTGCGGCGCAAAGGATTGCAATATCTTCAAGTATGTTGGTTACGTTTAGATGCATTCACGAAATGCTTGCGGGTGATGTTCTTAACGATGGTTTTAAGCAGAGATATCAGTCATTCTTGGAAAATATAAAACCATAGCGTCGTTCCACAGCTTAGGGCCAAGGCAAGATGCAAATAGTCTATAATTGCGAGTAGAGAAAGGTTAGTCTAAATGTTTTACTCGCCTCTTAATCCATTTCATTTGATTCGGAAAGCTTGTATATTAAATCGAATCATGCAGGAAGCTGTGAAGTTAGAAATTTGTGCATTATAATTAACATTTGGGATTTAGAGATATTCGATAATTTCAAAATTTTGTATCGCTTAAAGATTGACTCGGAGCTTTGTGGAGGATACACATTTTCTATCAGACGCACAGTTCTTTTTTGCAAAATTAGAAACCGATCTAGTTGAGAAGCATAATTTACACCCGAATCAAGCAGCAGTAATTTAGATGAGGAAAAATCAAAGTGCTATAGAGTATATGTGGCGTTGTTTTATCAATGAAGCACCTAACCCTGCTTATTATTCCAATGTTTCTAGTTAATATACTTGCAACAAAATTAACGTGGCGCGTAAATTTCATGCGATTTGTCAATGAGCAGACCAAGGTGTTGGATCTCTTTTTTCTCTTCGATAGGTGAATTGTTAATTGGTCCATTTAGTTGGAAATGCGAAGAAAAGGTAGCGTAATGCTGTGAAGATGTTTTTGATACGTTCAGTGAGACAGAATTGGCACTAAACCAGGAGACCATTAGGAGCAAAAGCGTATTGACATTGTTCTAAGGTTCCACAATACTTTTATTTTTGAAAAAAATTGCAGCATCATCAGCGTAAGAGAGGAAAATCATGTTACTGCTTAATCAAGGCAAGTCATTTATGTACAATAGGAACAGAATTGGACCCAGAATTGATCCTTGGAGTACACCCATTGTTACGCTTTTGAACGATGATGGATAATTCCTGATTTTTACACATTGAGTTCTGCCAAGCAAATCAGAAGAAATGATTTCATGAGATTTTCATCGAACTACCATATTAAGTAAGTTTACGTAGACGAAGGTTTGTGTTAACAGAGTCAGATGTTTTTTTTAAAAAATATAAATACAAACCTAGCACATGTCCTCCGTTTTCAAAAGCCTTGGCAATGGTTTCCTGGAGAAGAAGAGTTGGTATGTAGGTACTTTTGCTCTTTTGAAATTCGAACTGATTTTGGTGAATTGCGCGGTTTTGGTTTATGTGAAGAATCAGTCTGTGATACATAAGTTTTTGGAGAATTTTGGACATAAACGGAAAAATAGCAATAGGTATTTAATTAGTTACAAATTGAGAGCCCCCACCTTTAAAGATGGGCTTAATCACGGCTTTTTTGAAAATGCCTGGAAATATCCCGATGACAAACAGCTGTTGGAAGTATGAAGAGTTGCTTTGAGTATTACCCTGTAAGATAGACTTGCTCACTTTTAATATGATTTTTCACCTTTTCAGTTGTGGTAAGTTCTTGAGATATTTTGGTACACGTTATTTAACAGTGCTACACGATGACCAACTCTAGTACAACTTATTAATTGCCAGGTATATTTTTTATAATCTTTATTTTTTCTCATATACCTTCAGATGCAATAGCAGAAGCAATTGAGAATTAGCGTCAACCTAAATGACGCATCCATTTTATACCATGTCCATCATGACATACGGAGTCATGTCGACATGGCGCCGTTCACGTAACAACACGCAGCATATTTGCAGGTCGTCGGTCTACATCCTATGTGTGCAACATTCTTATTATTCAATATGCCACGAACCCATGATGACGACTGACCTTACCGCGTAACAAGGATTCTTTCTATATGGATTGGGGCGGGCCATTTAGATAACCGCACACTAGGCCACCTTCGGTCATAAACGTGATCCACGGCCTGCATAAGGTAATGGTAGAATATTGTGAAAAATATGTTGTTTCTAGATATCTAAAAGTCTTGCGTATCGAACATGAGTAGGTAGGGACAAAACCACGTATAACCTGGTGCGTTAGGCTAACTTGGTCTGTTTTGTCATGACGCATACCGAAAACCGTATTTGCAGTGTAAACAATTGCGCCTACATATATACCGGAAGTCCCTTTATTAGTGTTAACTGCAGGGTAACGCACGATGAATTATGGTACGTGTCCTAATGGATCAATTATGCATTATGTTGTCACACGCGATAGCCCATACCTACGCCGACACGGCATGTTTCCCAGCCAGAGAATCTAGGGCGTGAGCCCGCACATGCAGTCACATATCTGCGGTGAGTATGGCCATAGCAGGTCATCTAGTAGAACTGCTGCTTTACGTATATGGTGCAGATTTATGGACAAAGCAGCATATACCTCCATATCAGTTAAACATATACCTCCATATCAGTTAAAGTGCGCTGAGCGTACGCTAAAATGAATGTCTTAGTCGCGCTAGCAATGCAGATGCGGTCAACAAAGCGTACCGTGTCGATGTGGGGCGCGGGTAGGATGCTGTCTCAGAAAAATCGGACCCGTTTCCGTCGGCACCACTTCCTGACCGGAAGCAGTGCAGAGTTGGGCCGCTGGGTGGGTGCCACCCTGCTGCTGTCACCTTTGCTGACGCCTGAGGGTATTTTCCGGCCCGGTGCCACGGCCGGCCGTGCAGCATTGCACCTGAAACGCTTCGCCTGGTAGTCGTAGTAGTCGTTACAAACCGCACCATCACTTCTGCGCGATTGTGCGCAGCTTAGGTACCCTATGCACACAGTATGTACACACCACCTTTCACGCAGTTTTGTGAGCATGGTTAGGGCATGGAGGTCATGGGATAGGTAGGGCATTAGAATACGAGAAGGGCGCATTAAGCACAGGTATCGCAATGGACACCTGAAACAGGTTCCTCATAGCACAGTTGGTTAAATCCTCCTCGAGTACGCTAGTAGATTTGTGCGCACGAGCTGTATGCAAAATGTATCGCAAAATGCTTTCCCGTTGAGGGTTGGACGTGGTTAGACTCAACTCGCATGTAGAGATGTCTGGACAAGGAGAAAGTGGAGTCTCATTATCCTGACACAAAAAGTTTAAGGCGTTCGGCTGTTTTTTCAAAATATATCAACTTCTTCATCATCGAAATATCATCCGTGGTCATGTAAATCCTACGGTAATTATGAAAGTTCAATTGAGGCGATTGGTGCCACCCAAAACAGTTTGTGTGTAAAATATCCTAAGAAAATCCCAAAGCATAATCCCGATTCATATGATTGCCTTCCGCCAACAGGATATTTTTCTTTCGCGAAGTAATAACTCTACAAAGCTTGGCCTTAACACGGGCAGAGCGTACGACAAGCGCCACCTGGTGGTAATTACATTATATCAGCATTTTAGGCTATAGCCTTGCGGCCTTCGGCCTTAAGGCTACACCAGAAGTGAGCAGGGCAGAAGGGCAGGAGTGTGGATATTTCAGGTATTTGGGGTTGGTTGGGTCGAAAAATTTTCAGAACATAAATTCCGCGCTCCTTCCCGATAATAAGTTTAGACAATGATATGGCTTGGCGCCCCTTGACAGGCCAAGAAGACTACAAAAGGTCCCGTAAGTAATACTACGAACGCAGCAATAGACATCGGATGAAGGGTGGATATAAAATGCTGTGTTTTAAGTATAGACATCACATGAAGGGTGGATAAAAAATGCTACGTTTTAGGTATAAACATCAGATGAAGGGTGGATATAAAATGCTGCGTTTTAAGTATAGACATGACATGAAGGGTGGATATAAAATGCTACGTTTTAGGTATAAACATCAGATAAAAGGTGGGTATAAAATGCAATGTGTCATGGGTTCATTTTTTTAAAAATACTAGCTAGTTACGCTGTCAAAAAGGCAGCGTTATTCTTCACGTGAGCCATGGCATATTGAAGCGCTCAATGAGAGTTTAAGTTCATTTGTTCCACCTCTTTTAATGCCAATTTGACAGCACTTAAAAACATTTCAGTTGAGGGACTTCATGGAAGGGGTAAACCTATAAGTACCGATCTAAAATGGGTAACAGTTGGGATTGGGCACAAATTTCGGGATAACTACTTGCATGGGTACGGTATGTGTAAGACGCTTACGAAATGTCCCGTGGATGGTTCAAAAAGAGTGCACGCTTCTTATCATAATACATTCCATTTACATCATTTTCACAAGAACTTATGCAAAAGGTAGTCTTAAGTGTAAGCCTTTTTGAAAATGGTTCATGATGTTGAATTAAATTGCTGGAGAAATGCAACCAAGCGCGTAACGCGAGGATGCATCTGTATGGGGAGAAGTAGCGGGCTTGTATAGATACAACTCCATGGGTAACGGGTGTATTGACCACAGGCAGTCTTACGCAGGGAAACCTCGAGTAATGGAAATGGAAACCTCCAATACTCCCGCAACAGGCGGCACTACCGCAGCGAAGGAAGCCGTCTCTTCGCTCGGCGGAATGCGACGCTGTGAAGTGTCTGCGGTTGGAATGGTCACGACCAGCTTTGTGGAACGAGGACAAATTTTGGTCCAATATTAGACAAGCGAACTGACTTATGCCTGAGATCAATTTATAGGGGTTGCTTGTGCAGAGGAAGGGCGGCAAGGACATGTGTTTGCACCCACCGGTGTCGTGAGGGCGCGGCCGCCCCTCCCCTCGCTTCCGACGTCTCGGCGTGGGCCCGTCACAGCCGTGAGCACGGTCAGTCCCGCGCGACCGGCGACAGCTGTCGCTCATGAGAGCCGACCCACCGGCAACAGGTGGGCGCCACTACTTAAGGTCAGCCTCGGAGGCCTCATCCCACACAGTGCCACGTCCCGACACGAGTGAACACCGAGCCCAAGACATGCTGAAGACGCTGATGCTGGTGGTGGTGGCCCTGCTGTGGCAGCAGGGCGTGCTCTCCATCGAAGAGCACTGCAAGGAATGCATCTGCGCGGTGGGAATCTCGGCCCGCATGCCATCTCATGTGGCGCCCCGCTCATCGACGTCCTGGTTGTGACTGCTGGTCATGTTGTGCGCCTGCGTGGGTTTCGGGAATGGGAGCGAGTCCAGGCTTTGATCTAAAGAAGCATGAATGGTGGCTTGATAGGTGTGTGTGGTAAACTCGTGACTTTTGTCCCTGTGGGGGCTAAATAAATAGGGTCAATTTTTGTCACTGTAGACAGTATCGATTAAGTTTGGTTTGGTAATAGTAACGATTTCTGTTGGTGCGTATTCGAATGTTCTATGGCAGTTTGTCTGACATGTTGTGGTTTTCGTCGTTAAGTGAGTATGATCAAGTGTGCTAAGTAACCGATTTCAGTACTCGAGTTGCTATGGTAGACTACCTCGTGTGACTGTATCTTAGGTATACCTCGTGACCACTGTCATTTTGGGAAACAACGTGACATTGAAAAATGTTTCTTTGGGGAAATTTTGAACACTGCCTGATCTGTGAGCTGTTAAATCTGTTTGGTGATATTACACTCATCGTAAACTGGTGCATAATTCATAGGCATGAGTTATTCCAAATCAAGTGCCCTTGGCGAGAATAATCGGGGTCACCAGCTTCTGGGGTACATACTGTCAGCTGATTTTCTCCTGAGTTTCTGAGAACACTGACATATCCAGCCTCGAACCATTCCCGTGCACGGCCCAGTGGCTGCAGGCAGGCTTGTGGTGGCCGTGAGCACGCCGGTAGCTGCCTGTTGGTGCCGGCATGACGCGACAGGGCCTGACGTTCCTCGGCAGAACTCGGGCGGTCGCACAGGCAGCGCCGGCAACTGTAGCATGCCGGCCAAGGGAACCTGCCTGAACGGCGTCTACTGCGGCCCGTACGGCATGTCCATCCAATACTGGATAGACGCAGGCTCCCCAAGTGGCAACTTCTACGACTGCATGAACGACTGGGAGTGCTCCAACAAAACGCTCGAAGTCTACGGAACCAAGTGAGCGCCTGAGCCCGGCGGCTCGGACTGACCAGGCGGCGCTCGGTCCTGGTCGCCAGCGCAGTAGCGGGGTCACGCCGCGTTTAGTTGAAAACCCGAGGCTCGCAGGTCATGTAGGATGCCCTGCGTTCTGTCATGCCGTCATATCTCACACCTGTTCGGTCACCACGGTTCGCTCACATCTCTCGGGTTTGCAGGTACTGCCAGACGCAGTTTGTCGGCCACGCGCCGCCCTGCTCCTGTGAGGAGCAGGCCCGCATCCACCACTGCGGCCCCTACAGCATCCACGCGCAGTTCTGCGACAGCTACTGGTTCGGCTACATGCAGCCGTGCATCGGTAGTTGAGCGCCGCGGCACGCTCCCTGGACGCGCCGTTGCGGCTCGAGCCGCCGCGGCGCGCCCAGGTCCAACGGTCTGCGTGGGGACCTCGCCTGGTGGCGTGCTGCGGCGAGGGAGCACCGCTGTCCGGAGAGCACATAGTCACAAGCTCGGAAATAAGACGGGGAGTATGAAATGCCGTGTCTATCGCCCGCATGACCAAGGTCTGGCGCTCCTTGGCTGGAGGTACTAGGGTTGTGCGACGTCGAAGCTGTGGTCGCGGTTAGACCAAGCGTTATCCAGATCCATTATTGCTGAGATATATTATGATCTGCTTGCGAGTGACGGTGGCAGATTTTTATGACGCACGGCTTAACCAAAATGCGGAGGGTGATCGTTTTGAGGCACAACTGTTCGCAGCGACTGATTGGTGTATATAAACAATTTCTCTTTCTCTGGTTTGAATTGATGTAAGACATATACCCATCGCTGAATGACAGATATGATAAGCATCGTGGGCTTACCTCGCGCCCGACCGGTGGGGAGAAGTTGACTTCCCCCAACATTTTTCGAGCACAGGTCAAAAACGAACGCTCGCAGTCGCACGAAACTTCCAATATTTGTTTATCTTTTAATTTAACGTCGTTTATGCGCATTTCAAGTTTTGATCCACTGAAATCAGTCACCTTGGTCAGGTCAAAGAGGCGAATCTTTGAGAAATTTTGATCACACAAAACCTTTTGTGTCATTCACCAATGCTAAAACTTGGTATAGTAATAGGAGATGATAAAACCTGCAATTTTTGTTTTTTCAGATTTTTCAAAAATTGTGCGTTTATTAACGTTAAGCCATGTTATTTTTTGCTATTTCTTCGAAAGTAATGTAAGTTGGTATTATGCATTTTTTTAATTTTCGGTGTTGTATGCGAAAAAAGACTACTGATTTGCATGCACAACCATCATATAAACACAGAACACATGACCTTGAACCAGGTCGCGACCTATTTCTGTGGGTGCCCTCTGAAAAGCACGTGCTGAGCTCAGATAGTAAGATTTCTTAGGTAACTTTGGACGCAGCACTGGCATACACCATTGCAAGCATTTTTCAGATATACCTATAACGCATGATGAGGCTACAATAGGTCATGCAAGTTCATATAAGGTCATTGAAGGTCAATTACCCGTGTTTCCTATAGTGGAGGGGCTAGATGAACGACTGCGACGCGTGTAACCACCTCCCTACCGTGTTTGTGAAGCCGATGACGTCTAATTTCATGTGCCAGCGTACCTGTTCCCAGTTTGTTGCAAATGCATTGCCAAGCGTCGAAGGGACTACGCATAATGTAGGCAACAACTATGCGATACTGGGTACCTGTAGGTATTCAACAAAATAGTTATGACTTAAACCAGTGTTGTACTGGTCACATAGACCCGGTTGGCACTTAAAATCTTTTTAATTTGGATGGTTCATGAATTTGACCTAAGTTGATCTCAGATGACCTCTAGGTCACTCTAAAATAACATTTTGTGTCTGGAATACTTTTTCTCACGGGTGCATATCATAAAGCAAACTTAGTCAGAAGCACATTGTAAAGAAAACTATCGTTCTTGTAGGCTCTTGGTAGATTAATTTAGAACGGTAACCTGATCTGACGGTGTCCATGTGGGGGAACATAACTGGCCGGAACGGACTCACCACAGTCGGTCTTAACGCTTATTCCCGTGCCCTCAATACGTGTCTTGACGCGTTTACATAGGCTTTAACTGCATTCATCAAAACGACCGTTTTTGACATTTCATGGCCCCTGGTGACCTTACGTTTGATCTGAGGCCAAAAATTTGCGGTGCATTCTTTCCGATTTGACGTTACTTTTGAAACGGTATCTTTGTTTTTCTCATGCGACGTCTGGAAGTTGGAGATCCCAGAGAAAGTCAACTTCCTCTCCGGCCATGCAAGGGTGGTAAATTCTTCCGACTTGTGGGATGAGATCGGCGACAAAAATGGATGCGTTTACAAGCAGCTTGGTGCCAAAAATACCTTTGCTAGACAATTTAAGTAACAGCCACGGCGAAATCATATAGAGTAAGTCGGCGAGCTGATTCGATCAAGGTATAAATTGACCTGTGATGATCCAGACCGCCTTTGCAAGAGACAGAAAAGGCGTTTGACTCACTGCAGCAGTCACAAGTGACCAGCGTTCCTACCTATGAATTGAACCGTGGGTTCGATATTGAAGTGTGACGACACTCCCCAAGAGAGGGAGTGGCAGGAGGTGATAATGGCTCTAAAGTGCCGATTTATGCCATTTTTATCCTTGTCCTGATTGAGAGTGGGTATCAGTCACATATATCTACAAAACAGAGCAGTGCCTAGTTTCCTGTTCAGTTCAGGGCTCCATCTCCGCTTAAGCTTGTGAAGAAGTGTGCTAATCTGGTGGACATCCATATTTTGAGGGGAAGATTGCGAATCTTGTCACTGCTCCCCCAACCTTTCTTCAGAAATATATGCCCATGCTTTTAAAGTAATTAGTTCACCGGTGTTTTTTTCAGCATTTAAACAACTATCAACAGTTCAACAATTTGCTAACATAAATTTTGGTTGCTGGAAAATTAGGACAGCTAATGATGTAGGCAATGGGAAGGCGATGGAAAGTGAGGAGTGAGATGCTATGGCAAATGTAAGCATTTAGGAGGGAGGTAGGATGGATACAGGTTTCATCGCCATCTACCCTTTTACCAATACTTTTAGTGCAATAGGACGAGACGTTGTTATATTGTGGTCAGTGACAGATTGACATTTGGTTGTCTCTGAGGACAATGTTGACTATTTGCTGATGAGAACACCTCCACCGCAACAGGAAAGCTCTGGAAGTGATTTGTTCTACAGTGTTCAGTCATGTGTAAAGTTTCTTCGCACTTGTGAGCATGACATTTGCGTGCATGCCAATATGGTATATTTTATTGCTGTTTTTACTAACATTGCATTGAAAAATTTTCCTGGTGGAATCCTTGACATAATCACTGTATACATTAAATGCAAGTTGTGAATGCAGACAGCCTTCCTTGTAATCAGCCTACATTAATAGTAGAAATCAATTTAGTTTGTGTGATGGTGGCATAAAGACAGGAATGCCATTTTGTATGCATAATTAGGGTAAGGCAGCAGGCCATATGTCATGGTCAATAAATCAAGCCCAAAGGAGATGGTTTTGTATTAAAGTTAACTTTTCACATTTTTTGTTATATTCCAGCTAAAAGTGGGGGGGGGGGGGAGGAATCGGCATTGAGGGGGCCAGCCCAGCATGGAAGTTGGTTGGGGCCCCAGAAGCTGGTTTGAATTAACACTTTGCGCTATACATGGCAAGTATCACAGGTAGCATCAGATTTGCATGCTACGTAGCATGCAAAGGACAATTATGGCTTGCTGATTAACTTTCTTTTCATGTTTCGATGTTCGCAACGAAACACGTGATTCTGCTGTATCAGCTGACTGTTTTTATTATCTCACATAGATATTTCTACACCAGCGTAGGCAAAATGAATAAAAAGGTCTGAAGGTCAACAATTTTGACTCTTACCCTGCTTCGCCGGTTTCCATAACGCGAGCTTTTACACTTTTACTTTTTGCACTTTTTGCACTTTTGGCACACTTTTGTCAGTCCTGCGGCCGTGCGGGATTGTCTCAGACGCCCGGCCGGCGCGGGTTAAAAGGAATGTTCCACGTTTGAAGATATTGAGTTTGGCATTAGATATTATGGGAAAAGCTTATTGTAACTATTGGTAAGCTTTCAAGGTTCAAAAACGACGCGAAGTAGCAAAATTTGAAGGTTTGTAAAACTGGGCCAAATTAAGTCATTGTTTGATGGCGTCATGAAATGGTTTGTGACAACAGCAAAACCTGGCAACATCTGGCAGCTAGACCTGAGGAATACCTCGAAACACACGGAAGCTCGCGACACGCATTCAGCAGCGAAATCTTGCTAACAGTCAATCATCTTCCGCGCATTGCATCGTACGTGCCGCATCATCGCTTTTGCGAATGTACCAGCGGTCACGCTGTCTTGACCATAAGCAGAAAACAGTCTGTAGTGTGAGCGCGATCGCATGACGTTTCTATGACGTCATTAACGCCGAGGCAGCTTTGAAATAGGCTCCAAATAACCTTTTCGCACTTTTGCAGGCGTGTAACTCAGGAACCAGATCGTTTTGGGTCTTAAAAATGACATGACCGTGAACTTCATCAAAAGGTCCTCACGATGGTTATTTCAGTTCAAAACGCCCTACAAATGTGGAACATTCCCTTTGACATCAATGCTCTGGCTGAAGGTATCGTAAAATACACAAACGGGTCCTTCCGTGTCTTTTTAAAAATCGTATCCAGGTGACAGGCGCGAGAACGATAGCAAAGATTACTACTGGAACGCCTTGACAGATTTCGCTTCAAAGTATGTGCGTGTGTGGAGAGGGGGGGGGGGGGGGAAGGTTAGGTGGGGCGCGTGCTCTGCTGCCGAGCCGCCGCAGGATGTTTGTGTGCCGCCGGCTGCTGCTGCCACGCCTCCCCACCACAAGAGCATGAGGAGTTTATTGGTCAGCATACGAGCCAGATGATATTGGGCACAACTCGGCACGTTGTGGCTCTGGTACAGCCGACATCAACTTATACTCATGTGAGCCACAGACCTAGGATGAAGCGGGTGGCCGAGGCATTGGCGGGATGGTAGATCCTGTCAGGCACAATGAACGGCTGTCTCCCCGTACATGACTGTGTGCCCTTAAACACGGTACCCCACCTCCACCTTAAAACTGATGACGACACTTAAACGGGCAAAAACGGAACCAGATGCATCCATAATATTTCAAAATCGGAAGGGATCTCGCGCAACCGGCAAAACGCATCGGCAAGGGCCCGCTGGATAACAAGCCTGGAAGCCTCCTCAGCCTTAACTAATCCAAACAAATCTCATGCATTTGGCGCCATACCACACTCGCTCCAAGTATGCGCATCCGCTGGTACCCACGTCGCCCCACTCCTCTTGGCTCGCCCGGGGGTGTCTGCCCTGCCGGTTTTATCCAGCTCCCCGGCATTGTAATTGGCTCGTCGGCGCAAATCCTCGTCAAACTAAAGTGCATTTATTTAACGCATTTGATACACTCAGGAAAGCTGCCCCATGCTGCATGCCCTCTTTAAAACAGATCAGGTTAATTTATCAGCATGGCACCGACGTAGCTACTGGGCCGACATCAGGTGTCCGAAGCTGGACGGCGCCTCGTTCCCTCTCCTGACCTCCAGTGCGACGGCTCCCTATTCGGAGAACGCTCCCCGCGTTTCGACCACGGTGGATGGCACGCCATTCCCTCGGCCACGCCCACCGCTCGCAGCTTTCCGCTGCCGCGCGTGCGCCGTAGGCAGCGCCTCGTCCAGCACGGACACGTCGCCTCCGGGCTTCTGCGCCCTCGCCCCCGCCTGCCAGAGTGACCTTTGCAAGGCAGCACCCCCACGGCGCGTCTCTCAGAGGCCTGGAGGCAGACAGTACGTCCGATGGGACGGTGGAGCCCTTGGAAAACAGCGAGCGTCCGGCATGACCTGGGTTCATGCCTTGTGGTCTCGTCCGCCGGCGCGCTTTTGGGGACCCGGCCTGTCCGGCAGCCTGGTTCCTTGCCGCCCTCCCCATGAGCGTCGATGGCGGTATCTCTACCTGTCCTGAACATCCCGCCATCAAGAGCTCATAAGGCCTGGCATAAACCACGTCGGAAGAGAATGGGCTGCATCCTGTTTTCTCGCAAGGCATTGCACACCAACGAATAGACCCAGCTGCCACCGTACATAATCCGGCATATCGGGCGTCCCCACTGGTCCTTGGTCCTGCCATAGCATATGTCTTTTCATGCCGTCACGCCTGGGGTCAAGCGAGAGAAAACGAAACGAGTCGGCTGTCGGTCAGCGCAGTCCGTCCCGCTGGCTGTTGGTTAAATCGTCTGCCTTCCGATCCACCCATCTGTGGCGGGTTGGGATCGAATTGCTTTAGGCGCTTGGTATTTGCCCTCCACCGGTATGGCCTGTGGTCTGTGGCAGGTGGCGGCGGTCCCGTTAAAGACCAGTTTGTCGTCAGAGGGCAAGATAGACCATATCGTGGATTGCGACACCGCACGTATCAAATTCTCGCCACTAAATTCTGCCGTTACCTGGCATTGCGCGATCGGGTGGTAGGTGTCAAGGCCCACATGACAAGCTCACTGCTGAGCGTGATCCCAGAAATTGATCCATTCAAGGGGTTTGGATATAATCTTGAAAAAGAGCGAGCCCGCGCCCTCGAGTAGCGCTGCCAATCGAACATTTACCGGCGTAAGGGCAGGACTACGGTCGTCTGGCTCCTCCGCATCACTGAACATACCATTAGCACACTGTTCGGGTGCGTTCGCACCTACTAATCACTCTTCGCGGTCATTACCGTTACTGCGCGACTCGTCCTTCGTTAAAGGGGCAGCTGGGTGCGAATCGACAAAGGGAGGTGTCAGTCTGGCTGGAGTCTTGCGAACTAGGTCAAGCAACGAATTACAAAGGGAAATGAGAGTAATTGCGGATAATCCCGCACACGTAAGCTGGACGAGGCTTGGTTGAGAGCGTACCGTTCCTGATCACTGGGGAAAATAAGGGAAGCAAGGAACAGCCAAGCCGACGAGTTGGACAAAATACTAACGCTCTAGTCGAAGAAAACCGCCCGTAGATGTACGGCCGCAGCTCGTACGCCACACCGGCTTCGACGCGTGGCCCGTGAGAGCAATAACGAAACGATCTGGACCCTTATGGCCGCCTCCAATGGCTAAACCAAGATAGCTCCGGCATAGGCCAATGAACGAGCCACCGCGCCGAAGTGCGCGTCACCGGCCTCGGTCATTATGCCCACCCGCGCCGAGCGCGAGTGCCCTGTCGCCACCTGACCAAATCACCTCCAGCCTCGCTTCTGCGGTAAACCGTTGAAACACAGACTGTCACCTGTATTTACAAAAATTACTCAGACGTAGACGAACCGCGCGATACATCAACTTACTATGGGAGCCGCTCCTGGGAGTCCCCTTTTTTGGACTCCTATGGGAGTCCAAGAAAGTGCCGGGAGGGTCGCATGGCCAGCGCCCCCCCCCCCCCTTCCCAAATACACGGCAGAGAACAGGCATACATGGCCCACGCCCGTCCGCTGTAGAGGGTTCAAGGGACGCGTTTGGAGCACCAGCAGCTTCTGGTCCAGGAGGGATGGGGACAACAGCCGGTGGACACAGAGGCGCATGTTGTCGCCAGTGTTCGGTTGTCCGCGGAGCCAGATGTCGCCGCCGGGTGATGAGGGATAGAGCCGTCTCGTACTGTCGAGACACGGCTGTAGGCACCTGATGCACTCCCCAGCACTGATCTCCTCGGAGGCCCTTCTTTCTGCTCCTCCTTTCCGGCTCTCTGGGAGACTCCTGTGGAAGCTTCTTCCAACTGGGTCGGCACGCCTTCGTCTTCGTCCGGTCCAATAGTTTTGCCGCAAGGCCCCCTCCGTCTAATGTGTTGCCGGGCCGGCCTGCGCTGCTTTCAGGGCCCGGTCCCCAACGTGCCCCTGGGCCGGATCTCGGGCGTGGCGTCGTCGGCAAGGGTGCAAGGCTCATCCGCTCTCTTCCTGCCTCGCCTAGGATGGGCTCTGCGCGTGCCCCTCTGGCCCAGTTCCTCATGGCGTGGCGCTCCTGATACCCGTTTGGGCGGCGGCAGCGCCGGCGTGGCGGCAGCAAACATCATCAAAACATGGCATGCTGCCTCGCCGGAGATCGGACGTGACGCACCCAGTAATCTTGCTTGGCCGGCGGAGGGCAGGCGTTTCCCTTTGACGTGTTGGTCCATTTCGGAAGAAGAGGCCACCGTCATGGCCGGTCCGCGCCCCGGAGGGGGGAGGGGGGGGGGGTGACGGCGGCTTACCCCACGTGGTCGGGCGACACACACTGCCCACCCACCCCCGTAGACCCGGTCAGCAATGCGGGCCGATCGGTCAGGGCGTCGGACCTATCCGCATTCATCTCTCGACCTAATGGTTGCGTTTGGTGCGGCGGGGGGGGGGGGGGGAGTTCAGGACCATGGCCGGCTTACTCACCATCCCCCACCCCGCCGGCAATCCCCCGAACCCGGACGGGTGATGTGGAGGACGAAACACATGAAAATGCATGCTTACATGTAGGGCCATTCAGATATTTGTAGCACCACAGATCATAACCGGAGTAAGTTGCGCACTCAATGATTCATCATTCACCTCTTTTGGCTTACAAATGCAAACGACTAACGTAGCTTTCTTGGTTGAGCATTCAGGTTCCGTCTTCAGCCATTGAATCCACCAGTATTCAACGCACGCAAGCAACAATTTATGATGATGATGATTTGGGCTTTGGGGCGCGCAGACTACGTTGGTCACATGGCGCCCATCAAGCAACGATCTACTTTTCCACAAATTCCCAGTCTAGCCTGATCAAAAAGTCAAAGCAAGTCTACTGTCCAGCCGAGACCCTATCTCGGTCACAAGTGGTCTGCATCGGTTGTGGGCACAGCTGTGCTCCTAACATTAATGCGATATTTACAGTCAGTTTGAATCCGTTTATTCTGGTCAGGTTTGGAATGCCATTCAATTCTGCCCTATATTGCATGCAACTCTTTCGCCCGGGTGCAGTATCACATACAGAATAGCAAATCCGTGGTTTGTATAATCCATAAATCAGTCTCATAGATGCTTCGAAGTTTTTATTCGAAATTGCACCGCTATATTTTAAGAAAGGCTATTTATTGTTTCACTACAGAACTATGACAAATGAGATATTGTTCAAACAATGATCGTACACACAATCAAACTAAGAGCGGACACGCATCACCACGTAACGCTATGCGTCGTCAGATTTATGACGCAGCCCTGCACCCAACGACCGTTGTTTCGATCATGTAACAGGCCAGCGCCAAGTCATAACACCAGAGCCCTTTCAAGATGTCGGTAGCATCTCGTCGAAGGAAGCCTTTTATTTTGGTCAGTGTGGCTTCTATCCTGCTATCCTATTTCCTAACTTTCCATTTCATTTTAAAAAGTCAAGCTTATTGCGTTAAACAAAGGGCAAACCGCATGGCAAGGAGATCATGCTTCATAAAACGTTAGCAAACATTACATTATGCCTTTGTGGTGCTGCATGGATGGAAAAATCGACCATACGTAAGTGCATCCCCAGACTTTCTTCCATGAATGGTTGAATGTATACATTTAAGTGTCAAAGCAAATGGCTAAAAATTTAAGCCACGAGCTGAAATCGAACCATACTGGGGTTACCAGCGTGATTCTGATGACGTTCACTTCCAGCGGGGTGAAGCAAGGCAATTACGTTGTCACCTTGGGCATCACTCTATTAAATCCACATCTCAGCAATAAAATTCAATGTAAGAGCAGCAGCCTCGGGGATGCTCATTACAGTCATGGCCGATCCAATCGCACGCTACGCATGACATGTGGAATTAACGATAGAGTAACCCATTGCTCCCATGTTTTTGTAATCGAATCTCATGGTCTCTGTCAGGGCAAAAGAACACTGTCTCTTTGAGTTATGGCATTGGCGCTGGCAAGCAGTCCGCGAAACAATGAATAAAACCTGAATTACGCGCAGGCGCACGCTATTTATCCATTATACAAACGTTCAGTGATATCAGTTTGTAACACCAATGATAGCTCAGTGGCACCATCCAATCGTCGCTATGTAAAAGTTCGGTCTATGAACGGATATGTCATCATGTAAAATAACAAGCGAGGCTATAAAATATGGCACAGCGTGGACGCGGTGAGTTGACCGCCATCAGAAGCCTGCCACGTCCCCACCCTTCCTGTAATCGGCGTTGGCTTCCAGACGCCCTCCCGCAGTTCGCGCGATACCGCAGACCCGTGCCAGGTGGTTGGCCTCCTCCACCGGGTGACCCAGAAGCCGCAGCTGTTCCGCCAGCACCTGCCGTCGGAAGCCGGGGTGAGAGCGAGGACGGAGACGGAGACGGCGAACACTCAGCGCTATCCGTATCCGGTTCGGAGACAACGCTATCCGTATCAACGTCGTATCCGGTTCGGAGACAATCATCGCCCACGCGTGATCTACACGGCTAGGTCTCGCACTCCCAGAGAAGTTGCTCCTGGTTGGGCTCACAGAGCGTGACGTAGCGTGTCCTTGAAGTCTGAATACGAGTCCCGTTATAGTCGATTCTCGCACTATCACATTGACTACGACTTAATGACCGGTGTAAGCCAAAAACGATCCACTGGGTATTTCTTAAGGGACGCGTTCAATGGTTTGTACGCGAAACTCAAGACCCACGCAGCCAATATGCTACATCCACTTCCAACGGACTTAAAGGTAGTGTGTTTAGCGCGCTAGTGACATGGCCATAATCTTGGTTGCTACAGTCCCGTGTGTATGGGGAGAGCGCTTGCGGTATAGAGCGGGACGCAGTTGAAGGCTCCTTGCGTAATTTGAGGCGGAAAAATATGATACCTTGAACATGCCTGGTGTACCAGCGACATCGCAGCAATAATGTCAGCGCATCTGTTATTTTGGACGCTGACTTTTGGGCACGTGCGTTTGGAATTCGGTCATTAATTGCAGGATATAGGAATCTTCCGCCTGTAGTCGCTGCCAAACAACGTAGAACAATTACATTTTCCTAGAGCCTAGTGCAGCTGATTGACATGACACAATACTTGTGTCTCATCTCAACATAAAAAGGCCAACATAAATTAATCGCGGTGCGTTTCAACTGACTATTCCTACCATGTGTCCAACCACGTACACCCGCAACACACATCTGAATGTATAAAAACACCAACATGATGGCCGCCGCCATCGCTGCGTTTGCAAGCTACTGTCAGCGCTGACAAGTGGCATCCTCGAAAAACCATTGGCTAGAGCTAACGATGCCTTCTCAATAATGTCGATGTGTTTAGCAGTCAATATTGCTTGGGGGCTACCCGATTACTTCATGCTTCCATACGCGTCAAAGCAACTTTGGGGGCTGTGGCAATATCTCGTCAGTGGATGCAAATTGGTAGAAACTAATGACACCAACAAATTCTAATCGAACTTCCCTGCCATCCCAGGTGCATAGTTAAAAATCCCGACTTGGCCAGAAACCCTCCCTTCAACGCGCACATGAACGGTTGCCCCGCCCCGGCTTTTACGGACCACCGTAATAACAGTATTCATCAGCGCCAACCTGAGTGTGTGCTCTGGCATCACTTGGCCTGAGTTTGTGACTTGCCACAACTTACCACTCCAGCGTAAATACTCGATCAGCCCGCGCGTGGAGATCAGAGTTTTGCATCCGACAAGATGGTACAAGCAATGCTGGTACACGGTTTTCGGGGTCACAAGTGAGCCGTACAAAGCATTCGTATAAACTTATCAGGAAGAGTGCACGTTTGTCCCCGAGTGCGATTCACCCGATATCTGCTTGATCTACATCTCACTCTTACCTCAGGCATCCCCTTCTCTATTTTCAGAACATCTGGCAAAAGCTGATGGTGCACTCTCATTGCGTCAACAGCTTCCTTGATGTCTTCACCCATCCAAAGGTTTCGTGCAGCGACCTGCAATGGCCAGAACGTGGGAGCGTACGGGCGAGAGTTTATATATAAGCTTGCATATAATAAGCTCACCGGTGCTGGAGCCTTACAGTTCAGGGTATCCTGAACCTCGTTCGCTGGCAATGGGACATTTGAGACGAACTTGGAAAGACCTTGAGCAAGCGAAAGGTCGCTCAGCAGCCAACAGGATATTTTTTTAAAAGAGTTCAACGTCTCCACCATCACCAGCATAACCGTCCTAACCAAGCACGCATCCAGAGGCCTTTAACGCGGCATTTAGACTCCCGTTAGTACCCAGAGTTCGTTTCACATTTTATCAATCTGTATGTATTTTAATGAACCAGATCCGTCCTATCTTATGCAGTTTGAATTACAGCCCATTAAAACAAAAAACAAAAGTGGAGGCATCTTAGTGAAGCAACTTAGTATAACAGCTTGATAGCAACAGCTTTACTGAACAGCGCCATTCTAAACTTACGTAGCCCGTGACCGACGTGATCTTGGTTCCTCCTGAGGCGCCGATAACCATCCTCACCCCGCCGTCGTCGTCCACCAGGATGGCGGGAGCCATGGACGACTGCGGCCGTTTGCCTGCAACACGCAACGCAGCCCGTCAACACACGAGCGCCGAAGGTCGCGAGCGAAAATAGTGCAACGCCACTCTCACACCTGTGACGATTTCGTGTGATGCCTTATTATCTTGCCGTACTTTTCACACACGCGTCCAATTACCCCCGCATTATTGTTCCACCGCCCTGCCACTGGCCAGTTATGCCAGAGGTCGAGCTGAAACGGCTATTGAATCCACGTGCTCTGGCGGAAAGGGATTTCCTGTTTGCATGAAATCTGTGGATGAGCAAATGGCAGAACCGCGCTCTCCTGGTGAAATCCCAGCGTTTGACAGAGCAAAATTACGACCTGCACGGAGTGGCGTTGAGACAAGCTTAGACATTTCCAGTCATGTATATCAGTCACACCCTAAGATCGTGAAAACTGTAGAGTTTCTAATTCAAATATAATAGAAAAACATACTGTGACAGCCTGACATACTGTGACAAAACATACTGTGACAGCCACCTGACACATCACCACAATGCATGTGGCGCATGCAGGCGTAGCCGGAGGCGGGCGAAAGGAGCGGGCCCCACCCTTCGACACTACCCTATTCATTTTCCTCACCTTTGAGGGCTCTTGGAAAAAAAGATAAAAATCAGCTTTATGCATTTTCATCGAATTACGGGCCCTTTGAGAAACCCCCTAGCCACGCCCCTGATTGAGCATGTCCGTGTACAGCATTTGTTCCACCACCACGTTTGCCCAACCGCCATCTCAGTTGTAGACTTACCTGGCTCAATACGATTGTTCTCCGATGGCGGTAGACCAAAGTAGTTTGTAAAATTTGAGCTGAAGTCGTCCATTTCGTTGTTCAGGATTATTCCCGTCTGTGGAGACCGGAATCCGCTCCCGAGACTAGAAAACAAGACAAAAACGATGACGATGATCCACTGTAGATCACAACGCACTTTGACGGCACGCATCTCGCTGGAAAAGGTAGAAATGGACAAGAAAATAGTCACCTAAACGACTATTTCTCGACGTGAGTAGACTAAGCTTGTGATCGGGGTTTGGAAGGCTTCATTTACACCGAAAGCAAGATAATGTTAGCGATACATGAACGTGATTATTTTAAACCGCCGGATGGTAGATCCATGCATACAATTTACAGCAGTACCTGTGTGGGCTTACACTATGGGCGCAGCCAGAATCGGAGAGGCGCGGGGACCTGCCATGATTTGCGAAGGGGACTTTCTACGAGTGAGTGGCAGCACCCGACTGGCAGTACCTGCGCAATGTGGACAAGCTCAGATCCACAAACGCTAATAAATACAGAACCTAACTCATCGATAAACTTTCGATCTGGTCCGCCCTGGGGCCTTCCACAATTGTTTAAACTACGTACCATACATATTCACTCGCGTATCCACTAGGTCTTTAACTAAATTACTCTGCTTGGCTCTACATTTCCCTGCTCATGGTAGTGTCCACGAGATTTAACACCGAAATAGTTTTCTTTATCACCAGATCCTGAAATAATATTCAGCAGAGTGGTGAAGAAATGCCTGAGCCTGATGGTGGTGGGGACGTGCTGAAAGTGCCCTCAGGAAACCTCTCTTAGCTGCGCCACTGCCTTAGACAGACAGTACTTCGAGACAGCAATTGCAAACGATGACGTTGACCTGAGATGAAAACAACTGGCATTAAGCCTCAAACTTCATGACCAACGTGACACTTTGAGACCGGCTGGCTTCAGTCCGCGTCGACCCAAGCTCCACAACAACGAGACGCGAGACACACACACGACACACGAGACACGAGACACGAGACACACACAGACCGAGCTCCACCCATGTTACGAGAATCCCGGCATAGTCCGTTGTACTCATGAGGAGCATTGAGCCATAAGACACCACGCATCACAAGCGGCATGCTGCACAATACGTCTTTCTTAGTTTTGGAGTGCAACTTTGCATGCCGCCGAGCGCCTCTGGGCGATGCATGACTGGCGGCGCGCTCGGCGGGTGGGCGCTGACGTCATCGGGACCCACGGACTCGCGCCACCTGGCGTCGGAGCGCGCCGCAGGCACGCTCCCGATTGTTCTGCTGCCAGCGTGACCTTCATCTCCGCCGGTCGGCGGCGGCACGTACTAAAGGTTGACGGTGCTGGTGACGGAGACGGCGCTGCCGTCGGCGTCGACCACGGAGATGTGTGCTGTGCCGCTGTCGTTGGCGGCGGCGAAGTCGGCGCCGTACTCCTCCGGACTGCCCAGCACGCCGTCTGGCCGTATGCGGCGACGCACCGACGCCAGAAACTCGTCCGACGTCATGTTCCGCACCAGCTGCGTGAACAGCCAGTGGGTCAGCTACAATGACACTATGAGCTCAGAGGTCTTGTGCTAGCAGTTATCAACCCTCGGTATCCCAGGAGGTACTGGCTAACCGACGTTATCAACCAAATATGGGCTATATTGCCAACACCCAACGTTTCGAAGCTGTTCTCAAGTCACGAGAGCACTAGTATATGATATGGTATAGTATGGTATGGCATTTTATACGGCATATACTGGTATACTGGTCATACTCGTAGTCGTGACATGAGCACAGCTCCGAAACGTCGATTATTTACAACATGTTCCCCCGAAAACCTGGTTTAACCAGCTCATCCTGGGGTAGTGACGATCGATGACGGCCAGCACAAGACCTCTGCATTCGTAATTTCTGAACCCGTGTTGTCACAGCAGTTGTGTGGTAAGCAGAGCTGCCTGTGCATTGCAAGTGCATGTGGTAACAGGGTACGCAGTCCTGTGCGGCGAAAGGGCGGATGCTAAGTTATTTGTTGAACTGACTGATACAATTAAGGTGGAGGCTTTAGGGTATACGCAACAAGGTATGCTTAACGGGCCTTCTGAACCTTGAGCCATCCATGCAAACCAGTATGGATGAATATACAAAAACGACATAAAAAGACGTAAAAAATGCTGAAAAAGCCGAAGCTGAACGCTTTTCTTGCTTGTATCAAATTCAACTCTAATGACGTCACACCAGTGCATTCACACCAGTCTGGTTCCAGCCCTGTGCTGATGTCATGTGATGACGTCACTCAAAGACACGGTGCTTCATGCCATACGCCTGTTATCTTATACATAAGCAAACAAACTCAGATGGCGCCATGCTTTCTCCATTGCGTGAGACCAACGAGATAAGAAAAGCCTCCGTTAGTATCTAACTAATCAGAAACTCCCAGGAAACCCCACAGCTCTGTTAACACGGCGGACCCCCGCACACTCCGCCTACCACCTCATCAGGACGCCACGCCCCGGACCCCGCTCAGCGCCCACCTCATCGACGTCGACAAAGTCAGCATCTCCCAGCCGGCTGCGCTGAGCGTAGGCGAACTTGAACGTCTCGACGATGGTGTGGAGGGTGCGGGCCTGCGCCGCGTCGTCGGCGAGACTGGCCGGGCTGAGGTTGAGGCCGTCCAGCACGCCGAGGATGACGGCGAGGACGGCGCCGCTGGCCGGCGGCGGCACCGAGTACAGCGTCAGGCCGCTGACCGGCAGCCGCACCCGCACCGGTGCCGCCCACGTCGGCCTGACGGCACAGCGGCCAGTGAGGGGTGGTGCTCACAGAGGGCGGAGTGGGGATGTTGCTCAGAGTGCGGAGTGGGGGTGGTGCTCACAGAGGGCGGAGTGGGGGTGGTGCTCTCAGAGGGCAAAGTGAGGGGTGCTGGTGGTGCTCACAGAGGGCGGAGTGGGGGTGGTGCTCACACAGGGCGGGGTGAGGGGTGCTTGGGGTGCTCACAGAGGGCGGAGTGGAGGTGCTGGTGGTGCTCACAGAGGGCGGAGTGAGGTGTTCTGGCACTGCTCACGGCAGACAAGGTGAGGGTGCTGGCGTTTCTCACAGAGGGTGGGGTGCAGAGTGGTGGCGCTGCTCACAGAGGGCAGGAGGAGGGGTGCTAGCGCTGCTCGCAGAGGACGGGGTGAGAGGTGGTGGCGCTTTTCACAGAGGGTGGGCGCAGACGCGTGGTGTCAGTGTACGATGGTGCTTCCCACGCCGCGCTGAGAAGGATGAGAGTGGAGACAGGGCTTGCGCTTCTGACAACAGGCTGAGAACTAGGCGTGGTGTGAGGTGGTGCTGCTTTTGCTCGGCCCGAATAACTTGTTTAACATGGTCTGGGCGCTCTCAGTGGTGCGCCTTGAAATAACGATGACAGCCGGATCGACCTCGGTTCCGCAGCTTTCCGCTCTCAACGAGAAAGTGCATCATACCATAGTACCTCAGACCTACAGATATACTGTACCGCCACGACTGCACCCAAACAGGGCGTCTGAAAACTAAAATCCATCGGCGCGGCACGCTGACGCAAGGGCGCCCCTGTCCACCAGGCTGTGTAGTCCAGTAAGCCGGCAAGTCCCCAGCGACGAACGACTGCCTCACGTATGCCACCGCCGACCACTCGCTAGGCGACACTGCCTCGGACCCGCGGACGATCCTGTCTAAGCACCGGCACGCCGGAAACGTCACACACACACACACACGCATGCACACGCACACACACACGCACACGCACACGCACGCGCACGCGCACAGGCACGCGCACGCGCACGTACACGCACACACACACACACACACACGCACACTCACGCACGCGCACATGCTCGCACCCACGCTCCCACGCATGCTCGCACGCACGCACGCACGCATGCACGCACGCACGCACGCACGCACGCACGCACGCACGTAAGCACGCACGCATACACGCACGCACGCACGCACGCACGCACGCACGCACGCACGCACGCACACACGACATCACAATTACACACCCTATCAGCCCAATACACACATCGATACCGTGCACTTAAAATCTGAGAGAAAACGCGCACCGATAACGCACCGGAACACGAGGGGGAGAGAGGAAACACGCGTGCCAGACGAGCAGGCAGAGCTCCCGCCGACCATTCGGGACCGTTCGCATGGCCCTCCCGCAGCCGCCGATGCGTGCGCGCGGACAGGTTAGAAGCAAGATGCGTCCTGTTGGGGCTTCAAGCCAAAAAGTGGACGTGACCGCGTTACAAGTGTAACAGTAAATGGGGCACAGTGCGAGAGAGCACCAGCGCTTCGAATGTCGTCCTGGGGATGTCGCCCCACCGAGACACGGTGCGCTGTGACGCCCGCAGCCACGCGCTCAGCACTCAGAGCGTGGGGGTGGGGAGGGGGTGGAAGGGCAGGGTAGGCGGTGCTCCACTGACAGCGTCTTAGTATCACACAACCACTCGCACAGGTGGAACGTGACTCGACAGCTGTGGTGCACATGTGCAGCCTGCATAGGACACACAGAAGAAAAAGAGTTCCGCAGTTGAACAATACCACGGGACACGCAACATTCAACGATGCGATGCGTTATTCTCGGTGCAACGCACCGATTGCGCATAGATGTGCCGAAAACATCTATGGAGCTGGGAAACATGCCGTGTAATGCGCGTTTCCGACGTTCCTTCTAAATCGTTCATGCGCTATAGGAATTTCACACCAAATTGCGCCTCAAACGATGTAGGCTTCCTTAAGTTGTTCGGAGCATTCGCGAGGAGCATTATTGACATCTATCAGACAGTAGTTACAGCCTTATTTCTCGGCGTCAAACTAGGAGAATGGAAATTCAGATAAGTTGATATTCCGGCAACATGCCTATATCGAAACCATAGTACAAGTCCTCTATTATTGTTTCAATAGCGGCATGTTTCCGAAATATTAATCCATCTATATCTCCACTCTCCTGATTGTTCTCCGAGGAATAAGGCAATAACTACTGTCTGCTCGATGTACGCCTTCACGAAACTGTAATTGTTGATGCCACATCGAGGTTCGAAACCCAATGGCCACGGAAATGCCCACAGAGATCCACAGTTACTCACATGTAGTTTTTAATATCGTCATGTGTAACAACGCCACCAATCTCCTGAATGTCCTCGGCAAGCTTCTGGCCCAGGTCTTGGTACGCCTGCAGCCCGCCCTCTGCGATCTTTTCCAGCGTGGCTGCTAGCGTTGGCTTCCGCACCACGTCCCCCAACTCCATGGTGTCGTTACCGTCCTTCAGAAAGATGTCACTGGAAGAGCAGACTTGTCAGTCTATGCACGGATGCGTGCCGGAGATAGTCAGCTGTGATGCTGTGATGGGATAGCCAAAACAGGTTTGTTTGACAGTTGAAGAGCAAATGAACTCTTGGGCTTCTCCCGTTGCTTGCTCATCTGCTTGTCCATTACTAGGCTAAGGCAGCGGCTTGAAACAAAGTCGGAATGGTTTATCTTTAATGACAAAACTCCACGAGCCTGCACTAAAATAGAGGTTGGAAAAGCGAGGGTGTTGAGCGAAAATGTTGAGAACCACGTCAATGAAAGCTACTCACATCCCCATGGGATCCACAGTTTTCGTACATTTGATTCTACCGTCTAAGATCTATAGACCTTGCGAATTGATATCGCATGAACAGGAATATCACAAACATGCCCACGGGCGCAGGCGCCAGCGGGTGCCAAGCAGAAAGCCTTGTAAAATTTCAAATTAGCAGCGTTGTAGACAGCGAAGGACGCCACAGCCTGTCCGCCTCGCCGCCCAAGTAATCGCACCACGCCTAAACGGCCGCCCAGGTCCAGCGGCGCTCCTCACCCCAGGTGGAAGCTGTCGTTGTGCAGCAAGGTCTGGATGCGGCTGTTCTGCAGCGCCTTCTGCAACGTGTGCGACACGGGCACGCCGTAGCGACACAGGCTGATGGCCGGCTGGAAGAGGGCGCGCCACGGCAGCCGGCCGTACCGCTGGTGCACCGCCCAGTACCCGGGGATCTCGCCCGGCACGGCCACCGACATGCCGCCTGTCGCACGCACGTCGGCCAGTGTCATGGTTGAGCAGCACATTGCAGACGTTTCCTCCATGATACGTTTGTCATCCACGTTCTCGTTTCCTTCCCCTCCCCCTCCCCAACAGCGTGTTGGTTCAAAAATGCACATCTGTCACTTGCCCCAATTGTGATTTCTCTTCTCTTTACAGTATCATATTATATATATATATATATATATATATATATATATATATATCCCGACCACCGTTGCTCCGCACCTGTCTGCGCCTCTGCCTTCTCGGAGAACATGTCGGCGGCGGCGGCGGCCGGTGCGCGCTCCCGCGCCACCAGCGTCTCCGTCAGACCCGTGCTGTGGTTGTACAGCGTCATGACGAAGCCGCCGCCGATGCCCATGCTGTGCGGGTTGGCCACGCCGTCGCAGAGCAGCGTGGCCAGCGCCGCGTCCACTGCGTTGCCGCCCCGCTGCAGCATCGTCCTGCCGGGCACAGCGCGACTGTGAGCCCGGGCGGCGGGAGGGTAGGCGGAGGGGGAGGGGTGGGGTGGGGGATGGGGGAGGCCGGCGGATGGGCCGCCTAGCGAGGGGCCGCTAATGAAGCCGGATGCGTGGTGGGATAGTGCACAAGTGTGCGTGCCCGGGGGGTGGTCCGCTTGGCAGATATCCCGAGCTGCTATTCAGATGGACGGATGGTAATGTCGCGCAAGCTTGGTTGCCTCTCGTGTGAGGCTTTAACCATTGAGGTTTGTCACATTGATGTATGTGGCGTGGAAGGTGACCTAAAACACAAAATCTGGCACCCAAAACTGCTGCTGTCATTGTTGTACTGTCATTGCTGCCATCATTGCTGTTTGTTGCTAGCATTCAATGCTGTTGTCATTGCTGGCATTAAATCGCTAATTCAGTTCGTGTCACCTCAGAAACCTTCCAACTCTGCTGACGGCTGTCGAGCACCACGCTGACATGATAAATAGGCTTGTAGTGAAAAGACGCCATTCACATGAAGGTAATGACTGGCACTGCAAAGTTGTGCATGCTTCACCTTCTGTCGCGCAACGCAGGATGATCCTCACCTGCCAGCAGTCTCGGTAACAGTCTCAGCAGGGTGAGCCTCACCTGGCAGCTATCTTAGCAGCAGTCTCAGCAGGGTGAGCCTCACCTGGCTGCTGTCTCAGTAACAGTCTCAGCAGGGTGAGCCTCACCTGGCAGCTGTCTCAGTAGCAGTCTCAGCAGGGTGAGCCTCACCTGGCAGCTGTCTCAGCAGCAGTCTCAGCAGGGTGAGCCTCACCTGGCAGCTGTCTCAGCAGCAGTCTCAGCAGGGTGAGCTTCACCTGGCATCTGTCTCAGCAGCAGTCTCAGCAGGGTGAGCCTCACCTGGCAGCTGTCTCGGTAACAGTCTCAGCAGGGTGAGCCTCACCTGGCAACTGTCTCAGCAGCAATCTTAGCAGGGTGAGCCTCACCTGGCAGCTGTCTTAGCAGCAGTCTCAGCAGGGTGAGCTTCACCTGGCATCTGTCTCAGCAGCAGTCTCAGCAGGGTGAGCCTCACCTGACAGCTGTCTCAGCAGCGGCCTTCGCAGGGTAAGCCTCACCTGCCGATGGAGGCGCAGACGCCGGCGTCGGCGCACACCGCTGCCGACCGGTACTGGCCCAGTTTGGAGTCGGAGGTGGCGGCGCTGCCGGCGCCGGTCAGCTGGGCTGCCGGCTTCTTCACCGTCCCGTCTGGAACGGGCCCACTAGTCAGGCGCCATGGAAGGACCAGTACTGCGAGCGTTCTAACGGACGACTTCCGCTCTCCTGGCAGCATTTACTGGGGACGAATCGTGTTGGTTGGTGAGGAGAGGCGAGGCAGAACTGCGAAGGCTCAGGCATTACGAGCCACTTTGCGGCATGTGCTACGTTGCCAAACGCTTTTATTTGTCTCATGGTACGCAAGTGGGTTGTTCTGGACAGTATATAGCCGGTTTTGTCCCGGCAATTAGTGTCTCCCTCTTAACCAACATGCTCCTACAGTGTCTTTCTTCTTTTCTGCGATGCATGACAATTTTCATTTCTCGAACCGGCGATCACTGCCTTGCGATTCCCAGTGTTCTGCGGCACGGGAGGTCTGTTCTCTTCATTCGGATGCGATGTGCGCTGTGTCCAACTTCAACACCCGCGTCTCCTCCACCTTTTTAGTGCTTCTGAGCCATTCGGTCGTAGTTTCGCGGTCCCGCCCATTACGTCATCACCGGAAGTCATGCGACGTAACAGTTGGAGCAGGGACGTTTTTGCCCTCTTGCGATAAGCAGATCGTTATCACAGGCAAGGGAAGAGCAGGGGCACGTGCCCCCGGGAGGTTCCGATGCACCCTTTGGGCCCCTCGGGACCTACCATTAGGGGTCAGATTTGAGGGCCCAAAGGGCCCGAATGGCCGACCGGAAGTCGTTTCAAGGAACCCTGGTTTGCAAGGGCGGGCACCCCAACGCCAGTTGGGGTTCTGCATGTTGATCAGGAGCCCCCTGAGTCGATAAGGATCTATATGTCGGTCACACAACACCTGTAACGCACAGTCGGCTCCGTGGCAGCACGGGCCGGGGGGCCTATTTCCCAAGCAGGAACAAAGCTGGAGCAGCCATTTTCATTGGTTGGGGCCTTGAGTCGGCCAGGGACAGTATTCGAGAAGGTCCGAAGATCCTAGAGGGCCCATCGGGTTCGACGATCAAGGGCCCAATGGGGGGGGGGGGGGGGTGGGGCATGAAAGGCTGGTCGGAGCCTTATTCATGGGCTCCGGCCTGCGGGGAATGGCCCTCAAATGACTGCTGGAGTGTCCTTTGCGCCGATCGGGGACCCCCTGAGACGGTATGAGCCCATATTTCGATCATGCACCGCCAGTATCGCACGGTCGGCTCCATGTCGGTATGGGCCCGAGAGCCCACTTCCTAACTAACTACGAAGCCGGGGCCAGTGATTTTCACTAGTCGGGGCGCCTGTATCTGCCAGGGGCTCACAGCGTCTAACAAAGGGCTCTGTGCTCGCAAGAGGCCCCGGGCAAACCAAGGCAGTGTTCGATGTGCAAGGGCAGGTTCGAAGAGGCCCCGGGTGGCTCAACGGAACCGACTATCAAAGGCACGGGTGGAAGGTATATGGACCCGAAGGACCGGATGCAAGTCACCTAAAGAATCGCGGCGGGTGGGGTCGTGACCTGAAATATCAGTCAGGGGTTCCTGTACCGTTTGAGGACCCCCTGAGGCAATGCGGATGTCTGAATAGGCCAGAGACCACAAACACCGAACAGTTGCTCCCTGCCAGTTTGAGCCCTGGAGGTTCATTTCCCAAGCAGGGTAAAGCCGGGGCTACGATTTGCATTGGTCTGGGTCCCTGAAACAGTGGTTGCGCCCCGGGGTCGGTCGGGAACTCACATTGTATGGAAGGGGGTCATGTGCCGGCTTGAGGTGATCCGAAAAGGGGACAGAGGGTCCCTCGGGACTGAAGATCAAGGTCACAATTGGACTCGGGCCGTGACCTGAAATGCCAGTAGAATGGTTTTATTGGGGCCCTGTTATTAGGGTTCTCTATTCCTATCATATAGGAGCTCGACAAGGAACCACACAGTCGGTTCCATGCTCGTTTGAGCCCTCGAGACCCAGTTCCTAAGTGGGAACGAGGCCTGGGCGCGCGACTTACGGTGTTCGAGGTCCCTGATACAATGAGGAGCTCCTATGTTCGTCAAGGGCCACAGTGCCTAACAGGGGGCAGGTGGCTGCAAGTGGCCCCGAGTCGGGCAGGGGCGCTGTTTGAGAGGCCCGAAGAGAAGCTGAATGCTCTCTTCGAGACCACAGATGAAGGGCTCTATTGAAGGCTAAAGAAGGGCCTGAAGAGCTGGCTGTAGGCCACATTAAGGACCCTCGCCCGCAGGGCCGTAACGTCAAATGTCAGCGAAGAGCCGGCTCCATATCGGTCTGAGCTCTGTGGACCCATTTCCCAAACAGGCACACGGCCGGGCCCTTGATTTACATTGGTCGGGCCCCTGTAACAATGTGGGGCTCCTGTATTGTTCACGGGCCCGCAGGGCCTAACAGGGTATTATGTGTCAACAAAGGGCCTCCAGTCGGTCGGGGAAGATTTGCTCAGCAGGGGCGGGGAGGGACCCCGAATGACACAGGGCATCTGTCGTTGGTCGGGACCCTCCGACAACGAAATAAAAAATAAGAACATTATCTAATTGTTCAGAATAAGGCAATGAAAAGGGTCCTGTGCAAGTCAGAGCCCCAGCACCCCGCGGTGGGCCTCCAACGCATCTTTAGCAAGGGCCCACTAAGCCGACCTGGAGTATTTGTGCTAATTATTAGACCACTTGCGGCGGTCAGGGATGTTGTTGCGTCAAAGGAGGTCCCTGTGTCGATCCACAGTCAACTGATTGGGCCAAACGGCCTTCTGTGTCAGGGGGGGACTAATGTGATAAGGGCCTCCGGATCGGCCAGGGGACCCCGCTCCGTGTCGCCAGAATGACAGTCAGAAGACACCGCGCGGTGGGACAGACCGGCCATTTAGCTCTTCAACCGGGAAGAATAATGTGCCCTTAATGATCTGCTCCGGGGTCCCTTTCCCGGAGGGGAATAAGGGACCTCATCAGTATTGAACAGAGTGGACTGAAATGAATTCAGCGAGTGCCGATAGTGCAGCGGCTCACACATCTGTGTGAACCACTGCACGTCTGGGAGGCCAGAGGTGCGGGATTGGATTTCCCGCGGTCCCGCCCCTCCTGTCAGGATGAGAGGCAGGCAACGCCATATGGCCTCAGCAGCTGAGTGTGTTGTGAAGCCCAGATGACATGAAATTCATTCAAGAACGAACAAGGCCGTCCCCTGTTTGTCTGAAAACGTTCGCCTTTTCCAGGATCGACCACGGAAAGGAATCACACCAAAAGGCTTCAGCCTGCGCGCTCGTAATCTCAGGGAGCAAGAACAGCGATGGCCTGTGTTGTAGCTTCTGTAAAACCGACTGCCGTTGGCCACCGCAAGTGACACCAGGCGGCGGGCGGTATTCGCGCGAGAACGACCGTCGTAAAATAATGGTTACGAATGTATGAAACTCAATTCCGCCTTTCAAAGACTAGACGAGGAGCATCTTTTTTACAGCTTTGAGGCTGCCGTTTGGACGGATGACCAGGTATCGCGAGACAAAAACTTGCAATTTTAGCCTTATTCTTCCAATTCCATCACCAGATTCTAGTACTATGTAGTGATACCGCACAGGCTAATCCGTTCTCATCAGCAATATAAAAATCGCTCAGGTGTAATGTAACTCGGACGACCTTCTAAGCTGTACTGTTTGGTGTCCTAGCGCTCAAAGGTACTTCTTTCAAATGTCTTATCATTTTCGTCTACCCGTTGGACACAGCATAATATTAGCCACAAGGCCAGCGGTGCACAGCCAGCGGAGGCTGCAACGTCTGGCTTTGAGGTTTTTGCTACCGAGATTTGCGAGCGCGCGTGCTTATAACTGCGTTATACACTTCGCATCAGCTATCAATTCTGACTGAATGTTGAATATTTCCAGACGAGCATAGTTCAGCCATGTAAATGCAAATGGTTGCCGCATTTCGATTAACATTCGCGGGGTCTTTGACATCTCTGTACAGCCCACCCAAATATTTGGACAAATCGTCTGAGTTCTAATGGTTAAGAAATAGTCCACTAGACCATTGTAAAATGGACAGCGCCGGTGATTCATTTCATGCAATCGACTAGCGCATGGTTTCTAGTGTGATGACCATGAAATGCAGGCAGAATTTATCTACCGATAGCTTCTGGCCTCTTTTCCGGTTTTAGACGGTAAAAATGAAGGACGTCAAATAAAACGTGTTCTCTTTACAATTTGGCCACATGTGGCAATTTTTTTTGGGGGGGGGAGGGATCGGAGGGCTTTTACTATCAGAGGGCCCTTTGTCAACCATGTCCCCCCCCCCCTTTACCAAGGCTCTGGCTGCGCGCCTCTAAACAAGTCGGCGCAGCTGACATTTTCAGACTGGCGACTTCTATATACCATGAAAATTGGAGTACAACAATTGGAGCAGGTTAGATAACGCGACTTTGGATTGAGCGAACTTTATTGACAAATGATCTTTCCTAGGCTACTGATATACTTCTGACATGTTAGAGCACGCTGGCTAGTTTGGTGTCGGTGATAAAGCTGAATGTTGAAATAAAGGTTGGTACATGGCCTGGAAGTCGAGAATTTGGACGAAATTTAGAGCATTTTAGGTGATCTCTGGCGATTTCAATGATGTCACAAATGTCACCTCAACAACCACTGACTGCAATTGACCACAGGTTTCTACTACCTTCTGAGTTGAACTGAACACGCGCTCGGGTGGCGTTCAAATTGACCCCCCGAAAGTCTTTCCAGAATGATTTCCGAACGGCGCGGCGTAGCCGCGCCAAATTTTGCATAGCTGTAGAAAATTGAATAGCGGATCGTTGGGTATCAAAAAAATTAGGTGTGCCTCGTAAGGTCACTGACCTATTGCAGGTCAAAGTCAGGCCGTTTCAGCGGAGGCAATTTCTAGGGAATCCTTCGATCTGATCATGTGGCCTTTTACTTAGAGACGGTTATCTAGATTCTGGGCGCACTTTGGGGACCAACCTGGAACTTGACTCTTGTTTGGCCTTTTTCGACCCGAAGGTCATGACCTAGGAACTTGAAACTCTGACCTAAATGAGTTCACGTACAAGTCAACA